GTGGTGGAGGAGGGAGTGTGGTGGAGGAGGGAGTGTGGTGGAGGAGGGAGTGTGGTGGAGGAGGGAGTGTGGTGGAGGAGGGAGTGTGGTGGAGGTTTGTTCTGCTTGCTGGAGTTCACCTCTCTGCTGCCGGCTTCTGTCTTCCGCAGTGAACACCTACTTCTTCATGATGCAGGCTCAAGGCATCCTGCTGCGGGACAACGTGAGGACAATAGGAGCCCAGGTGTATGAGCAGGTGGTTCGCAGTGCTTACGCCAAGAGAAACAGCAGCCTGAACGACTCAGGTATGTTTTTAGTGAAGAAGGAGCCTGGGTAGAGTGGCTGCTCCAAGAGAGCTCGATTTACCCTGAATAATTACTTTCCAAGACAAAAGTATACTAGGAGAAGGAGGCTTGGCCGTCTCTGACTGCACAGCAGGGTCCAGCCTCCTGAGTCCTCTTCCACTTTTGCTTTCAGTATGTTATGGTGACTTGCATTTTCACACCTACTTTTCAGGGATGTAAAGGGTGTTTTCCAGAATACTTTTAAAATATGCCCCTTTTCTGTGTAGCATCCGCCAAAATTTTGCCCCAGTGGGCAGAGGAAGCATGTCCTTAGGGCATCTGTGTAACAGGAACATCAGAAGCTATTTGGGGAAGTACTTTAGATTTTTAATAATTGGGCTTTTTTTTTGGTGGTACCGGGAATTGAACTCAGGATTCTATTAAGCCATCCTCCCAACCCAATAATTTGGCTTTTAGAGGGCCAGTGAGATAGCTCAGTGCACTGAGCGCCTGCTTAGGCAAGAACAGAGACAGAGGTTTGATCCCCAGCATCACAGGCCACGCCGGCCCCACCGCCAGGCATGACGAGCTGGTCACTGAGACCAGGCGTGGTGGCGCACACCTGTGATCCCAGCACTGGGGAGGCTGAAAACAGGAGAATCACTATGAGTCCGAGCTGTATAGTGACACCCTGTACTAAATACATAAAAGTAAATAAATAAAAAATAATAATAATTTAGCTTTTAATTCCAGAAAGTGTGTTACATAGTTGGGTGGCGCAGAACTTGGTTGCCTTCTGCATACTTACTACATGGCCTACCCCTGGGGCTCTGTTCCGTTTGCATGGTGGGGGAGGGTGGAGGTCACAGTGTGACGCTTTGTTCACCCTGTCATCTGGCCCTCGCTGCTGTGTGAGAGACGCTCTGCTGGACCGCATGCATTTATCTGCTTGACCCAAGAGGACTCCTGCACCACATTGTTCATGAATCTCTTTGTCCAAATTCTGCAAATCTGCATTTCATAACAATCTTGTAATCTGGCAACGGTTTTCTCTTTTTTTATTTTTTATTTTAAAGAGAATAAACATTAGAAACAATAGAGAATTTCAAAAAACAAGATGGCAGATATTCACCAATGGTTGTTGAATTGTACATCGTTGTCTTCCAAGTAGTTGCTCAGATTGACAGCATTTTCACAAGGTGCAGTTAAAAAGCCGCTGTGGAAGGAAAGTAGAAGAGATCACCTGGCCTTCCCTCCTAGTCAGGTGTCTGCGATAGCTTAGAGGAAGGTTGCTTTGGCTCAAGGTTTTGGATGTTCTGGTGCAAGAGGGGTCCACGGGTCACTTTTGGTTCTGTAACTGGGTGGCAGCACACCATGATGGAGCAGAACCGCTCACATTGTGGCATAAAGCAAGTGAAGGTGTGGTCTGGTCCCTCTGTTCCCTTGGAGAGCATGCCCCAGGGTCCTTAAAACTCACAGCAAAACTCAACAGCTAGCATTTTTTGCTAAGAGACGAGGGGCTTGTCCAGGCTTTGTCTTGCTGAGTGCATATCCCTCCCCTTCTCAGCCCAGAGGAAGTGACAGAATATGCAGATGCTGACTCCAGGAGGCTGCAGGCCAGTTTCCTTTCCTCAGGAAAGAGAGGGATCCAGCTAGGAGGGATAAAACAAGCCTTGAGAGGTATATTGGCCGGTAATACTCTCCGCTCCCCTCTGTTTCTCGCTGTATAAGACCGCTGCACACCTACACAGAGGGAGATGGCCACGAGGTGGAAAGACTCCTCCATCTCCTCTGAGCTGGCTTTGCATGAAACTTTTTTCTTCTCATCAAAATATATGACCTCCATGATTTAGTCAGCAGCAAGCAAGCAAACCAAGCATTTGGACTGAAGTCCCCCCACCAAACCTCACCTCCTCAAGTTTCCACGCTTCCCAGGAGTGCCAGGTTGGGGACCAAACCTTCAACACATGGGCCTTCAGGGCTGAATGCATGGGTTCAGGCCTTGTCAGAGCTGAACAATAGCGTATGTATTTCAAATCAGCCAGCCAGTCATTACAGTGATGGGCCCCAAAATAGACCTTTCTGCCTCCGTCCTTTGCACTTTTTTTTTTTTTTTTTTTGAGAAGGGGTCTCGCCATGCCATTCAGGCTGCCTTGAGCTCACTTTGTACCCCAGGCTGGTCTTGAACTCCTGCACAGTCCTCCTGCCTCAGCCTCCCCAGTGCTGGGATTACAGGTTGCGCCACCACACCTGGCAGTCCTCTGTACTTTGAACAGTGCCCCTTATCGTATGAGGATTAATGACACAGAGTGGAAAGTTCTCAGAGGCAAGGTGGTTGGTGGCTTGCCCTGTGGTGTGCGAGGACGTACTGTTGGCTGGTTCTGACTAGCTTTTCTTCTTTAGGTACTGGGGATGAACTATGTGCATGCAGTGCCCCTGAGCTCTGCCCAGCCCGTGACCAGCTATATGCATAGACTGTCCTTCAACTTTGAAAATAAAACTTTTTTCCTTCCAGAAACTGCATATAATACAAGTATTTCCGCTATCAGAAGACACTCCCTGCCTAAAGCACATGCTCATGGTGTGCAGTACTGGGATCAAACCCACAGTTTTCACACCAAAGACGTCCTCAGCCCTTTTTTACTTTTCATTTTGAGATAGGGTGTTGCTAAATTACCCAGGCTGGGCTCAAACTTGGGATCTTTCTGTGTCATTGTCCCTGAGTGCTGGAATTATGGGGAAACATACGCCACCATGCCTGCTTCAGGGGTGGTGTTCTTAAAAAGTAGTTTCTGAGACTTCATTTTATTTAGCACTCGATTTGCTACTTGTTTAGCTAAGGATAATGTATTGTTTCCTGTGGCTTCTAAGTTCCCTATTAAAAATATGTACATATTTTAAAATTGTCGTCCTTGCCGGCATGGTGATGCATGCCTGTTATCCCAGCACTCAGGAGGCTGAGGCAGGAGGATCAGTGCAAGTTCAAGGCCAGCCTGAACTGCATAGTGAGACCCTGTCTCAAAAAGACAAAAAACATCTTTCCTTTATATCAGTCCTCTGTCCTATTTAGCTTTAAGATTGAAGTTCACTATAAAATATTGAAAAGAAATTCAGTTTCTTTACAAACCTTCCAAATGAAATACACTCTGTAGTGCTTGGGAAATCAGTGGAAAGCCTCACCTCATAAAGGCAGGCTGAGGCCTAGAATTGGCCACCCCTACTGTGTCCGTCTCCTCTGCTGCCCAGCTTATCTGCCACAGGACTGCACTTAGCGAACTGATGAACTTTCAACACCTTCTTCTGAGTTGGGAACCATCCTGGGGGCAGGAATGCCTGCAGTTCTGGAGTGAAGTCTACATTTTGTGGTGTCATGATTCACTGTGTGTTATGTCTACACACAACCTAGTTCCCATGCTCATTGTCTCACTGGATTCACGTGTGACCGAATTTCAGTTCTCACATGTAGTACAAATAAATCGGGTGGGGGATTGCTGTGGTACAGTGTCATGGTTATAACTCTCTAAGCCCTGACCCCAGCTTTTCTCTAGTGATTGTCATACTTTCTGGTTGCTAGGAGGAAATACCCAACACTCACATGTTAAGAAGGGTTTAATTCAGCTCACCGTTTGTAGAGGTTTAGGTCCATAATCAACTGGCTCCAAGGCAGGGCGGCATGGCAGCATGGCAGAGGGGCATCGGAGGGAAGAAACGGTTCATGGCAGAGTGGGCAGAAGGCAGCAAGCAACAAGCAGCAGCCTGCAGTAGGCCTGCCTTCTTCCATCCCTTTTATTCCACCCAGGCTACATGCCTATTGATTGGTGCCACTCCCTCACACCCAAGGTGGGGAGCTTCCATTATCCACACCCCATCCCCATCCACCCTAAGTCCAGCCATCTCCAGAAAAGCCCACCTATAACTACGTGAGACTTTGTGACTGTTCTCCTAGCAGTTGCCACTTCTAAATGTGCTCTTTTTCTTTTTAAAAATGTATTTAGGACAGGGTCTATAGAGTCTCACTACGTAGATTGGACTTACAGTGATTCTCCTGTTCTCAGTCTCCCAAATGCTGGGATTACGGGACTGCGCTACCACGCCCAGTCTCAATCTGTCTCAGCACATCCTGCAGGCAGGGCCGGGATGGCACACTGAGGATCAAACTCCAGTTGCTTGACTCTGCCTAAGCAGGGGCTTTGATCTACTTAGCTATCTGGCTGGCCCTTCTTTTTGAGACAGACCTTCACTATGTAGTTCAGGCTGACCTTGAACTCATTTTGTAGCTCAGGCTGGCATAGCCATCTTCTGCCTCAGCCACCAGGCCCGGCTAAATGCGCTAAGTCTTGAGGATGCTAAATCTTTGTGATTCATGGGTATTGGCCCTGATAACATCCTTCAAGGTTTTTTTTTTTTTTTTTCCTTTTTTTTTTCTTTTTTTGGATAGAAAGGCTTGGTCTTTATTCAAATGGAAAGGAAAGTGGTAGTTTTAGTAGTAGACCTGCTGCCCAGTGCCAGTGCCGTTGGGTTTGGCAATTAGGGGAGAAAGCAGATTTCCACCTTTGCCCATGTTGGGGCAGCTGTAGCAGGCAGACTGCCCGTTGGAGTTCCCAGGGGAGCTTTAGGAAGCACCTGCGCCTGCACCAACTCCAGAAGGTCTTACATAACTGCTCTGGGGAGACCCTGGTACTGGGAGTGTAGTGAAGACTTCTGGCTGATTCTAATGTGCGCCAGGCTGCAGAAGCGTTGGAGGAAGTTGAAGCTGAACAGGCAGCTGCTGGTGGACAGAAAGGGTGGCTTGTGTGCCCTGAGCTAGCCGTGCCTGCTGTGTCCATCTTGTGAACGTAGGAACAGCACCTTCTTCACCTTCCACCTCTCCTGCTGCTAGAGGGACATTTAAAGTTAGAGTCAGAAAAAGTAAACCATGGCCTTACAGATTCTTCAGGCTTGTTTTTCTCTCAGCAGTCTCTCCTCTGTGAGGTACCGATGCCCTGCCTGTTCCTTTGGGACCCCAGGACATGTGCCCGTTTCCGAGCAGCATGGGCAGCCTAGGAGAGGAATTAGGGCTTCCCCACAGTTCCCGTGCTGGTGAGCTGTTCACTTCTGCTCCCTCTTTCACTTCTTTAAAAGGTACCTGCAGCTATTAAGAAAGTGAGTTTTATTTTACTTACATTTTAAAATTAGAAATGAGGAAATTAGCCTTTCCTTCCCCCAAGGTACAAGATGAGGCTGTGTGTAGAATGCGTTCACTCCAGAATTGTGTAGCTAAAGGATTTGGTCTTGTGTCATACTGGTTGCTACCACGTCAGTGTTGAGGCAGGCGAAAGACACTCACCTGTGTCCTCAGACAGACCCAGGTAGGGGCTCAGAGATGTCTGGTCTCTGTCCCCCGCCCTTCTGGTCAGGTAGCTCTAAGGTTTGGGCATCTTACTACCTAAAGTCACTCCTGTTTTTGTTGATTTGCTTATGAAAATACTTGGAATAATCCCTTTGGAATTCACTGCTGTTTAGGCATAGGAGCTATGTATTTTCCAGTGCATGGGAAGTCTTTTGCCTCCTCCACCCCCACCAAGAGATTCATGCTGGCCTGGCTTGTGTCTTCATATAATTTTATCTCTACTAGTATATCAACATAACACAGACTTTTTTTTTCCTGGAAAGCCATAACTGACAAGGGCAGAAAGTATTCTGTACTTTTCCTCCCTGACCAGAGATAGTTTAAATTCTCTTCAAATTGCTCATTGAGTTTTTGTCCCCTGAGTGCTTGTGCAGTTAGGAGCCATGTCCCAGTACAAAAGGATTCAGTGTATTAGCCTTTTGATTCTAGAAAACCTCACAGTGCTTTTTAGGAAAGAAATTGAGTTGAAGATTCCACAACTCAAGGGTAAAAAGTGAATGTGAACAGGAGGTTTTCATTTTCCATAATGAGCATGAGTTGGAAAGAACTGGTGAAGCTGTGCGAGGTGGTAGGGCCCTTGCCTGCAATCCCAGCACACAGGAGGCTGAGGCAGCAGGCTCTCTATGAGTTCAAGGTCAGCCTACTGAGACCCTGTCTCAGGACAAAAAAGAAAGAATGGGTAAGAGAAGCTTTTGCAGGAACAGTGTCGTGTGGCGATGGGCTGGAGCGGTCAGGAGCCCAGACTTGGTTTTGGGTTTTGAGACGGGGTCTTGCTCTGTGCATTTCAGGCTGCCTGTGAAACTACCATGTAGCCCAGGCTGGCCCTCGACTGTGATCCTCCTGCCTCACCCTCCCGAGTGGTGGGCATGCAGATGTGCGCCACCATGCCTGGCTTGCTCTTTTTGTTATAAGGTCTTTCTACATAGCTCAGGCTGGCGTTGAACTCACTGTAACTCCACCTGGTCTCCGAGTTGTACATTTGGTGTTCCTGTTTATTCATTTGGAGAGGTGAGGGTAGAGGACCTTTTTCTTCTGCTCCAGTTGTCCCCTAGCGAAAAGGAATTGTTCACACCCTGAACATCCCACTAAAATCAAGGAAAGGGTTATATTGTGTGCATTTTTTTAATGGCCTAAACCCTTACTAATTAAGACCAGGAAAGGAGAGGGCAACAGAGGAACGAGTCACCGATAGAGGACTTCACAGACTGAAGAAGATGGCCCCTGATGCATACTGGGGAAAGCCATGCTGGCCCAGCCTCTCCTGAGTCCCCTGAAGCGCAGGAAGCGCCAGTGTCCAGTGCTCTCAGCAGTAGGGATAGAGGTGGCCGCTGAAGGCAGGGTAGGCTGGAAGCTGTTTCAAAGCAGTGAAATGCCCAGGCCCTTTCCCCAACCTGGCAAAGGACTGGGGACCTGATAACCCCCGGAGATGGCCGGTGACTTCCCTCAATTTGGGGACACTTGGCATGACTTTAGTACTTGAAAAAGGGAGGGGGGCCATTACCTGTATCCTAGCCCCTCTCTTCCTTAGTAGTTCCAGGATCCTTATAGTCAGGACTGTGCTGTTTGGCAGAGGCCTGGCCAGACCTGAAGGAGTCACCTCTGACTTTGTCCAAGCCCTTCCAGCTGAATGTCCTGTAGTCCTATAAAGTGTTAGCACATAGGCCTATGCTAGAAACAGGGATAATAAGGAAAAAGCAGAACACAGAAGGGAGGACCTCCAGGGAAGTCGAGGTTCCCCCACCCCAGACTTCTGGAGGACAGTGTGTGGAAGTAGATGCTCAGCCCAATGCACAGGCATGGAGTCTCCTGAACGAAGAGAAAGCTCTTCACTCTATGTTTTTTGTTTTTGCGAAACCGGGGATTGAACTCAAGTCCTTGTGCTTGCCAGGGAAGCACTTATTCTACTGAGCCATCTCCCCAGCCCTAGCTCGTCACTCTAATGACTGGGAAGATAGGTGCTGGAATGACTTCAGGCCCAACCACCACAGTACAGTACAGGACGACACCTCAGCAACCGAATAGGGAGAGTACTTCCAGCCTGTAGCTTTGTACACTGTGCCGCACCACAAACCAGTGAGGAAGAACAAAAGCTCCCAGCACCTGCGGGTCAAAGTCATGTACTTCCCATTTCCCTTTCCTGGGAGGCTATTTAGAGGATGTGCTCCACTAGGTGGGAAGAAGAGAGACACTGAATTTAGGGAGAATGTGGTGCCCATGTGGAGGCACAGGCAGGAGGATCACTTGAGTTACAGGCCAGCTTAGGCTACATAGTGAGTTCAAGGCCAGTCTGAACCACATAGAGAGGCAAAAGCACAGCAGGCATTCCACAAGCGGGTGGGAGGGTGAAGATGTAAGAATACAGGTGTGAAAAGACGGCTGCAGAGCAGGGCGTGGCATTGGGTTTCAGCGATCGATCACCTGAGAAACGGCAAGACGAGGTAGTTGCTCCAGGAAAAAATGTTAACTTTCTTTTCCACATTTCTGCTCAGAGGAGTATTTATAGTGTAATTCTCTAAACACCAAATTTTAATGTGGCTGTTGGAAGATAGGGTGGGAAGGGAGTGACTGGAGGACAGAAGAGAGCCGGTGGCCAGCCGAGGTGGGCACTTGGCATCTGCGCTAGCGGGTGGCCAGAAGAGGTGACAGGGCAAGAAGGGACTGTTGGTGCCTACGCTTCACCTTGATTCTAGCTGACTGCAGACAGAGCAGAGGATGGGAAGGGGCCTGGTTACCCCAGGGGCCTCTGGTACTGAGCTTCCCGATGAGCTCAAAGGTATGGGGGTGCAGAGAGGCCGCTAGTGCCTCTGCCCCGCGATGGTGTGGGGAGCGTTCTTGGTGCCGGGCATTGCATGTGGAGGTGGATTGCTCCGACTGAGGTGCCTCTCCCCTTTGTCCCCAGATTATCCTCTTGACTTGAACCACAGCGAGTCCTTCCTCCAAACCACAACGTTCCTTCCCGAAGACTTCACCTACTTCGCGAACCGCCCCTGCCCAGAGCGGCTCCCTTCCATGAGTGAGTAGAGTGCTAGCTCGCCCCTGTGCCTGGACACAGGCTGGTCTTTTTGCTGATTAAAGTGAGGGTGAGCGAACTTTCCATCCACCTGCCTTCTAGGGAGAATATAAACGAGAGGCTGTGTCCTGGCTCCTCTCCACCAGCCGGGGCCTGCCACCTTGGCTGTATTTTCTACCTATTCCTTTTGGCTTTGACTGTAACCTGGGGTTGGTAGGACTTCAGGCAACAGGCTTTTTTTTTTTTTTTTTTTTTTTTTAACACAAATCTCCCATTGGTTATAACTGGTTTGAGGGAAGTTATGTTCTTAGCAAAAAAATAAGATGCTGGTTTAAAAACTTTTGAGGATCTGGGGATGGTGGCGGATGCCTGTAATCTCAGCCCGTAGTAGGCTGAGGCAGGAGGACTGCCACAAGTGCAAGGCTAGCCTGTACTACAAAGCAAGACCTGTCTCAAAACAAAACAAAACTTATTTCTTCTTTTTGTTTTTATTTTTGGAGCCCTATGTGGAATTTAACACAATGACAGTAAATTTTTATGTATTTTCTGTATATGGAGCTAATTCTTAGTTCTACTGCTTCCCCCCCCCAATGCAAAGAAAAATCTTAAATTTGCAGTGTTTGCTTTTTGTTGTTTTTTGAGATGGGGTTTTGCTGTGTGTATGTAGCTCAGGCTGGCCTTGAACTCACCAGGGCCTCTCACAGCAGCCCTCTTGCCGCAGTCTCTTGTGCTGGGATTACAGGCATGCATCACCACACCTGGCTCACAATTGACTTTTATGTTAAAACAGAGTGGAAATGGAGTGTTGGACACAGCCCTGCAGGGTGTTTGCTCCGGTCCCCAGAGAATGTGGCTGAGGCCTTCTTTGCATTTGCGTGTCCCACACAAATAGAGAGGTCTTTCCTCTACAGTTGTCCTGTCCGGACCTTTATTTACATGGAAGTTTAGTTTGGAAACGCTCAGATTTGGGATTAGAAATTCTTTTGATGGCCCCACAGGTAATGTTATCAGGTCACCCTCTCCCTAGCATGTGCCATCTTAGTCCCCTGCCTGGCCATGATGGGCTGGGGCACCTGACTCTCTGGTCTGTGAGTTCGGGTGTACAGCACATTGGGCCTGGCTTCGAGAGTAAGCTGGCGTGACATGGTCTGAGTCTGCTGCTTCTCTATTCCTTTCACCTTAGTTTCTTTCAATATTCTTTGTAGAAACAACTTGAATGTCTTAATTCCTTGATTTCTTCTGTATCAGATTGTAGTGTATACTGAAATGCAGGGGTTGAAGCTCCCATCCCTGTTGGAGATAAGAAAATTTGAGCTCCTAGAACCCTGGAAATATCTATCATTTGTCTAACCTCTAAATTGCCCACCTTTCAGAGGGCCCAATAGACATAAATATGAGTGAAATCGGAATGGATGACATCCATGAACTCTTCTCCAGAGACCCAGCCATCAAGCTTGGAGGGCACTGGAAGCCTTCGGATTGCGTGCCTCGATGGAAGGTGGGTATGCGTCCGCTGCAGTCCTGGCAGCCTGCCCGGGGCTGGCCAGGCTTCTGAACCCCCCCGAGACAGCGCCCGGGGTGTTTTCTAGTCTGTGCTGTGCCGTGCGTGTGATGAAGTATTTTGGAGAGTTAGCTTTCCCAGGGTCTCATCTGGAGCAGAGTTTGCCTCATCGTGATGGTGATGCAAGCAAGACCTCTTCATCATCCTCAGAGGAGGACTAGCGCAGCCAGGGTCTGCATTATCTAGTGACACATGCGCGTCGGCTCCATGCGGTCCGTGCCTCGCGCTGTCTACATGGGTTACTGAGGGGCTGGTGGAGTGAAGCAGAGTTACCAGGGCCCAGCAGTGTAAGTAGGGTCCTGAGTTCGATCCCGGGTACTGGGAAGAAAAAATAAAAGCAGAGTTACCTAGCTTGACACTGGAGGGTGGGAGTCGGTGTCAGGGGAGGAGACGCTAGTGTAGATCAAGCTTAAAGTGTCAGGTGAGGGCCTTTCTTTCAGCGAGTATTGTCCACAGTGCTTGTTCTGTGCTGGCCTGTTAGGTGTTGGAAGTCCAGCAGTGCCTAGAGCAGAACATTGTTTCTGGTCCCTCGTGCAGTGTAGAATTGGTGTGACAGTGAGCCACGTGTGCATCTACTACTCTGTGGACTTGCAGTGTATATAGGTAGTACCGCAGGAGTGTCGTATGTGTGAGTATTGTGTGTTAAAGCTTGTTCAACCCAGTTACACATTCACTCACCTACGGATATCTTGGAGCATGGATCACAGTGTGTAGGACGTGGCTCCCTAGGCTTGTGGCTCCCTAGGCTGTGGCCTACAGTGGCTTCATTGGAGCCTGCAGTGTGCAAGGCGCAGTACGCGTAAGAACAGGGCGCACTCAGCTCCATGGTGGGCTCACAGCACAGGTCTGCCATAGAGGACATCGAGGGCAAGGCAGCCAGCCCCCAAGCTCCCCTAGGTGCTCTGTCACTTTGCAGGGGTGCAGCAGAAGTTCAGAGGACTAACTGGGTGGCTTCTTTGGCTGTGCCCACTCTAGGTGGCCATCCTCATCCCCTTCCGGAACCGTCATGAGCACCTCCCGGTCCTGTTCAGACACCTGATCCCCATGCTCCAGCGGCAGCGCTTGCAGTTTGCATTTTATGTGGTTGAGCAAGTGAGTACTTGTGTTGTTTTGTTTTGTTTTGTTTTGTTTTGTTTTGTTTTGTTTTGTTTTCTTTCTGTTCTGAGGCAACTCTTTAGCCTGCTGTAAGTTACTCTGACTTGACTGTGAAGAGCCAGTAAGGCAGAGATCTTGGAGCTGAGGCCCTCTGGGGTGGGAAGGGGAGTAGAACAGTGTTCTGCTGTGGGTGTGAGATGTTGCTGGGTTTGAGTACTGAATGGAACTTCATTTACCTGAGAAAAAAGGCTTTCTGTGTGGGTTCTGCTTCTGCAACTTGGGGGATATCTTTAGGCTCCCCACCAGGAAATTCCCCTTAAGGTAAGGAGGGGCATCCGGGTCCAGCATGGGGTGTGGCCTGGGAGTAGGTATGGTGGGTTGTGCTGTTAATTAACCACTAGGCCTGGGGCACATTCGCTAAGCCTTAGGGCTTTGTTTTAGCTTTAATCTTAAAAGTTTTGAAATTGAAGCACAGCAAGGCAGATTGGGTCTGAATATCCCTTCCTTCCCCCTTGTGTAGCCTAGTTCTAGTTCATATGCTTACCTTACTGACCTGGCATCTTTTAAGTCTGTGGTCCTTGAGCTTTAAATTCTTTCTGTTGACAAATGAAAGGTTTGCATATTCCCTTCGATTCCAATTTGCGAACCCTGTGTACCCTGCCGGCCACCTATGTATGCCACGATAAGTGGGTGTGGTGTGGTTGTTTCCTGGTAGAAAGAGGAAAAAAGGCCCAGCACTGCTGTCCTAAAAGGGAAGGTATCTGGGAACGGGATGAAGTACTCCAACACTCTCTAGGAAGAACATGTCTGTTCTGCCTTACCTGTAGCTTCTTTCGTCTCCTATTAATTAAATATCAAACATTTCAGTTTGATTAAGTATCATATTCCTGGGGCTGGGGAGACAGCTCAGCAGCAACCTGCCTGGCATACGCAAGGTTCTGAGTCCGATCTCCGGTACATACATACATACATATATACATATCATATTCCTGTTGTCTGTCCAAGCTGGGTGTTTTGTTACTGACAAGGGTGGACAAATGTTGGCATTTAGATCAGATAGACTGTAATTGATGTGACCTGCTGTGTTGGGGAGCTGCCAGATTCTCTGTCGGTAGGCAGGAGTCCCTGCTGCCCCGAGTGACTCTTGGCTTCATTGGGGCTTCAGAGTAAAACACCAAAGGGAAAAGCAAAACCTTTCTACTAGATTTGGTTTGTGACACATTATTTCCAGACTGGGTGATATGCCCAAGACAGTGGCTGGCAAGGATTGGTAATGTAGTGTTAGGACAGAAATATATGGCAGTTCTTGCCTCTCACCCTCGTTTCCTCTATGTTCTGTCACATGGTAGTTTCCACCCTCAACAGGCTGAGAAAGAAGAACTGGGGTTTTTCACCACTTTGGTTACTAAAGAAATCAAGGACAGTGATCATTGCTTTCTGACTCAGAGGGTTACTGATGAGTAATCCTGGACCTATTCATGCATGCCCAGTGAAATTTTTCCATTCTGTTCTAATCACTCCACTTTTGGTTTGAAGGCAACAGAAATTTTGCTTCAAGAATCCATCATATCTATCTGATTTTTTTGAGACAGTCTCACTATGTAGTTTAAGCTGGTCTTGAATTTACCATGTAGTCCAGGTGATTCTCCTGCCTCAGCTTCTCAAGTGTTGCGATTACAGGTGTGTACCACCACACTTGGTTTAAGAATTCTTTTAAAAAGAGAGTTTTGCTTCTTTTAGGTTGGTACTCAGCCCTTTAATCGAGCCATGCTTTTTAACGTTGGTTTTCAAGAAGCAATGAAGGACTTAGATTGGGACTGTCTGATCTTCCATGATGTGGATCACATCCCAGAAAGTGATCGCAACTATTACGGGTGTGGACAGATGCCCAGACACTTTGCAACTAAATTGGATAAGTATATGTATCTGTGAGTATTATTTTCTTTTAGAAGGTTAAATCTAAAAAGATGAAAGCTAAAAAAATAAAATAAAATAAAAAAAATAAAAAGATGAAAGCTACAAAGATGAAATGCAAACCAATTGCAGCCCAGGTGTCCATCAGCTGATGAATGAATGACCACAATGCCTGCACACGGGAATGCCACGTGACAGCAAAAGAGGGTGCAGTGCTTACAAGTGCCACCACAGCGAACGAACGTTGAAACATGGGGCTGAGTTAAGAAGCTGGACACAAAGCTTGTATAACCTGACTCCATTGACTGTGTGTGATATGTCCAGCATGGGCAGATTATGGAGACAATGTAGATTAGAGGCTGCCTCGGCCTGGGCAGTTGTCGTGATTGTGAAGGGTGCAGAGCTTTTGGGCAGATGATGAGATACACTACTAATGATTGTGGTTATGGTTGTACACCTCGGTGGATACACTAAAAGCTTACATTGAGTTACACAATCTAAATGAGTGAGTTGAATGGCATGCCGGTGTATCTCAGTAAAGCTGTTCTGCAGGGCGTGGTGGGAGGCTGAGGGAAGAGGATCATTGTGAGTTGGAGACCAGCTTGTGCTACAAAGTGCGCTCAAGGCCAGCCTGCACTGCACAGCAAGGCCCTGTCTCAAAAATAAGTAAATAAATAAAGCTACTGTAAAAATCGGGAAAAAGTCCCTTAGCTCCTTTGGTAGGTCCTGGTCAGCTGAGGGGACAGTCGGGTAGTTGGGGCAATAGCATGGAGAGTGTCATACAGTGCTGCCAGAGGAATCGCCCTTATGCAGTCCCGGGGTCTGATGCGCTCTCTCTCTCCTTTCAGGCTTCCTTATGCTGAGTTCTTCGGTGGAGTGAGTGGCTTAACAGTGGAACAGTTTCGAAAAATCAATGGCTTTCCTAATGCTTTCTGGGGCTGGGGCGGAGAAGACGATGACCTCTGGAACAGGTATTGCCCAAACCACATTCCCAGAGATGCTGCCTGAGGCTGTGCAGAGTGGCTTGTCCAGTGGGGTGTGATGAAGCCACGTGTGGAAGCCAGGTGTCCTGGTAGCCTTGTTTCATGGCAGCTTACTTGGGGTGTGTGTGTATATCCGTATTTGTGGGGGTGGGGAT